TGTCCCTGACAATTTTATCAAGGTACTACTAGAGTTAAACTCATTTTCACTAGTAGAAACCTTTAACAGATCTAGTAAAATCATTTGTTAATCTAACTACGATAAGCCGGCATGCAGATGCTTAGATCTGAGCCTATATTTCGTATACAATGTTCAGTTTTGTAGGCAAAGTAATAAGTTGTGTATTTCTCCAGAAGGCTCCGCTGTTCGAATCACTAATGAGAGAGCGCAATTCAAATCGACTGATTTATAAGGAGTGAGCCATTTTGCCCGGCTCACGTACGATATTTATACATTTACGAACTAAAAGCTATTCAAACATTCTAATTTGTATGTCAGTTAATTAACGAAACATTGATAGAAAGGCACATACGTGTAAGTGTAATATCCAAAGTACTACTAATCTAGGGAAAATGCGGTCAGTTTACCCTGTTCCCCTCCATCCCCGGAGGGTACTTCCAGCGGGTTTTACCAGGTAGGCCGGCCTCTCTTAAGCTTGCCTTTTCAGGACGGGTGCGGGGTCGGAGAGGGTTGTGTTGGCTTAGGGTTGTTTTTCCCATGTTATGGCAGTTAAATGGGGCAAAATTTTCATCAGGATTGAGACACGAAATAAGAATAGTCGGTGTCTATATAAGAATGAGGTGTATTATTTAACGTCCTTGATATCACTTACGACTATTTTACATGTTTATACCAAAATCATACAGCGACGATCTATCGCGCATCAATTCCATATTTGACCTTAGATTTTGCGACGCACATTGATGCAAACAATCTGGTTGCTATGATGTACACGATAAAAAGATTGACATCAGTTTTTCCAAAAACAGGACTAGCTAACGTGCTCAAATTTGTCACAATCGGTTTAATTGATCGAATCTGCCATAAATCGGATCACGTTCTTTAACCATCGATAAATTGATAGTGTATCGGTCTCCTCAGATATCATGCCAATGACATCTCTTGTACAAGCTGCACAGCATCTTATAAACCTTACCTTTTTATGATTTATTAACATAATGTATCTAACTTAATTTCTAGAATAACAACATAACTGTTGCATTTGGTAACACTTATGTTAACATTTAAGTATAAGCTCACGAGGTTATTATTAATATATAATTCAACACTAACGTAAGATTATTTATATGATCTTTATCGCTGTAATTAACATACTTATTATTGCTTTTAATCAACACAACATTCTTTCACTGCCTCTTATAAAGTTCTGCTATCAACACCAAAAGTAGGTGGCTAAATATACTTAATATATTAAAATGTAACTGATGACATTAGTTCGGTGTTTTTTGAGTTATTTTGTGTACCGAATGACAAATTCAGTTGCAATTACGATTGAGATGCAACTTTAAAGTTATTTTTAAGTTAATAATATTATTTAGTAACACTGGAAAGATTAAAAAAAAATCATACGTTTGGGTGACGTAAGCTATAATTTACGCGGCAAGTCGTGAGAAAAAGATACAAGTAAAGTCGTGAACTGAACTTCTTTATAAAAATCTATTTTATATACCTATCTTTCAACCTAGTTGCTGTCATATTTGATAAATATTTCTTGATATATTAAACCAATTTAATAAATAGACAGTATGCATGCAAATAATTCAAAGCATCTGAAAATGTTATATAAAACCTACAAAGTTCAGGACGTCTTTTGGCTGATAAGAAGAACAAGCAGAAACTCACCAGCTCTAATGGAAGTAACGACGTTAAAAAAAACCATGTTATTATCCATTTATTATCAGACCCAACTTTTCTAAAAGTCGTACTTTTAAGCATTAATTGAATTAATACTAAGTTGGACCAAAAAATTCAAGTAAATAATTAGAGATTTGCCTCTAGAAACGCTACCGGGAAAACGGGCTTGTATTACCTCGTTAAGAATCTACGGACCTTGTCCGGATTATATCGGGTAACCCCCCCTCAATTAGCGTGCCCTCGCACCGCTATAACCCCACCAAGGATATATTTACATAGTGCTTACAATGTTTCACTGTATATGCCTACGATCCGATTATGAAAACAATAAATATTATAGACATTATGAATTGTTATAGGAATAGTTTCTAGAGTTTTAAAAGCGTTAATATATAATAGCTTAACTATTTTAATATTATAAAGAGATAAAGTTTCTTAATTTTTTTTTTGTAAAGGGTAATCTTCGGAAATAATGGTCTGATCATGAAAATTTCTAAAAAAAATACACTGGCAAAGTTGTCGATAAACAACTAGTTATATGTAGTCTTCATAAAGATGAACCTAAAGTTAGATAGTTAACTTTACAGATAGTAAGTATTATAAAAAATAAAAACAGGCGTGCCCCGTTGATTGTTGATATGGAAATTATACCTGACGAAAGAATGATTTATCTGATATACGCGGAAGTTGGAAAAAGAAGAAGCTGCGGCAGGCCAAGGCACACCTATTGATTGTGTGATATTGCAAGGTGATGTCTGGATGTCATAGGAGTATCTGAAAAACACTCGTTCAAATTAAATCCAGAAAGCTATTACGTGTAAATGGTTCTCGAACTTATAGCCACTGAAACAGTAGGCTAATGTGCGTTTTGTTGATTCCGTCCCATAAAAATAAGGTTTGAAGGTAACATAACAAAATTTAATAAATTAAATATAAAGTATAAGTGGCTAAATGCCTTTTATTATGGAGTATCTAAAATGATGAGGATAACATTATAGAATTTGCATTTTTAATGAACAAATCTAATGCTTCAAATTGTGATGTTACAAAACAAAATAGTGGATATACAACATTTGTTATTGTTCTAAAAGTCAAAGAGAGCGACAATTATTAATAGTTCCTCAGAACTTGTGATATTGCAGTATTTCTAACGATTAGATCCCGCGTCTAAAGCAGCTACTCAAGTTTATGACATTATAGTTGGCGTCAATAATTGTACTCAATAAAAGTATAAACTTGAGTTGAAGTGAAAGATGAGGTTATGATAGGACACCATAATATCAATCATTTGTCCATTAAAATCCATGAAAGCTCTATAGGAGTATGTAACCATGCATCTGTACTAAAATTATGAAAAGTTAGTTTCTTTTTTGTTTCCTAGTTCTCACCACCAGCCCTTTTACGTCCCCACTGCAGGGGCTCAGGCCTTCCTTATGGATTGTTAAGGAGTATGGGCCATGACCCTCCACGCTGTCCCAATGCGGATTGGAGGGTACTAACGACTGCAAATGCAGCCGGGACTAACGGCTTAACGTGCCTTCCGAAGCACGGAGTAGCTCGAGATAATATGTTTTTTGGGCACCCATCCCGTGACCGACCCTTGCGAAAGTTGCTTAACGACTAGGATTGCGGGCCCCGGCGCTTATCCACTACGCCACCGAGCTACTTTACTATTTTGTCTATTCGTAGGTAATCCTCAGAGATACTGATCCGATCTGAAAATTCTTTCACTTACGGGAAACTACATCATAATTTACGCGAGCGAAGTTGCGGCAAAACAGCTAGCGTAGACATATTGAGATAAAGATCATTTCACACGCCACATTATATCAGTAATAACTAAATTTCGTTTAATTTTGTTTAGTGTAGTGTTCGTTCACGTTTCTAATATTCGGAGGCAAACTAGTTATTGCTGTTTTACTTTATAGTTAAAATAAAATCCAAATGTAGTTTTACAACGTTTATAGGCCAAACAATGTATGACATGTTGATGTAACACTAATCAGTATTTTACCACCTTATCCTGCAATAAAGATTATAAGATATTACAATGCCTGATTTACTTTACTACATCCTCAACTGAAATGAGACATTGCAGCTTTCTCTACTATGGTTTGAAAAAGAGTGGGAGTTCAATGCTATTTTTGACATAATAGAGTAGACTTAGCTTTGAAATTGCAACTATTAAGATATCTTTAAAATACATGCATATATACTTTTTTGAATCTACAATAGTATGCTGTCCTAACCAATCAGATCAACTTACTTCTATTTTGAACTTCATTAAACCAATAAAGAAGGGTAAAAAGAACACTTCAAAACTAAAATAGTACACCGCTCTTGACCGCACCGCAATTGACATTTAAACAAGACAATATTCACCTTAACAACTAACTCTATAAAAATTAACTGTTTGTACATACGTTTGTTTATGTAATACAATAGTTGTCAATTTTTGAAAACTCTTAATTTCATTAAGATTTCAAATAATTATCCTTACCTATAAAAATATTAACTATCATTGCATACACCATTTACTTATTCTGTCCATTTCTGTTTTATTTGTATTTTTATACAAAACATAAAAAAGCTATAAAAGAATATGATTTAGTTTATTGCCTTATGGATAGAACAATTGTCGTCCGTGACTTCGTCCGTTTCATATTCTAATTTTCGTGAGAATTTTGTCAAACTTCTTTCCTGACTTGCACTCCACATGGGAAACCGACATGCCAAATACTAGCACTCGTATCATAATCTAGAGGAGAATATATCATAATATAAGCAGATATTATTACTAAATACATAAAAATGTGTATGAAGTTAGACCTGTTCATAGTTCGAATACTAATAATATTAACTATTAGCAGTCTTCATTCAAATTCGCGTCTGTTAAAAAAATATTTACTTATGTTATGACATTTTCTCAAGTAGGTTATCACTTCTCTCGACTATAGATACAAGTAAGACTGATATATCATTTAAATTAGATATGTATTGCAATTATCATCTGTGCGAAAATGATGATGATAGTAAAACTCGTGTCTCACAGGAATCCTACACAGAAATACCTCAAAGTGACAATTTGCATAAAACACTCACTTAAATTGAAATAAAATAAAATCACTTTCATCACATATCTGTTAAACTGCATTAAGTTTAACATCGATTTCCCATTTGATGCGAAGTCTTAGTAAGAAACAGTAAAATGCATTTAATAATACTTTATCAATAAACGTACACATTGTTCACAGCACACATTAACGGGGCACAGCGGGAAAGTGATGGCAGCAAAGTTCCTCGGCGAGCCAACTAAAGTCGTCACAGGCAGCTACGATCGAACGCTCAAAATATGGGACCTCAGAATGAAATCGTGTAAGTCGATACAATCGCAAACAACACCATTTTATTGCTCTACTTCAAATAATCTAATTGAATAGCAATTATAATAATATACCGCCGCCGTTGAAATTGAATCCTGATACTTCTACTACTTTCATATTAAGGTTAGCACTCACTAAACTACGTGTGTGAAGCTACATTTTCAGTTTCATAGGAATTATCATGGGAATAGTAGTTTGTTACAGTATTCGTCGACTCCGAAGAGACTTGATCGGATACCATATCCTTCGATATAGCAAACGTGATACAAAAAATCGAATGCGGTGTAAAATGAGTTCTAACCCTTACCCAGTTTTCGTACTGAGCAAGTCTAATAAACAAACACGCATAAAATACATACCTTATTAACAAGTCATTAGAACTATTATTACTATGTAGTAATTCACCAGCTCTATCTAAACACACACTAATGCACCAGCGAAACCAAGTCATGTTTCTTATCTTGCAATAATAAAACCGCATAAGCCACGTACAAAATTGCTAGTAATCGAATTAGTGCCATAATCATTACTCGCCAACAGATACACAATCGCGCTCGTACTAACAACGCAATGAAGAAATTTGCACCGATAAACATTTTCAAATTATTGTTTATCGAGCTTCTACCCTCTTTGTTTATTGGTCTTAGTGGAATGTGAGAACGATTTTCTACGTTAATCACGTCGCGTTTGTATCGTTTAGATAGGTAATCATAAAGTTTATTACTTAGTTAAGTAATTAATGTTGTTTCAGCGAATTGTTTCATTATCTTTTCCTTCTGTACATATAAGTTATCAAAGCTACTGAAAATTGTATTTTGTTAACATTAAGCTTTATGAAGGCATAATCTTTAAAAAAAATCACTAATTTAGTTTCTATTCAATGTCAAATTATAAATCTCCTTAGACACGCAGATGCATAATGACACACATTATTTACATTTTTTTCTTATATAAAGGAAATAATTACAACAATAGGTGCTTTGATTTTTTATATCAAGACAGTTTTGTAAGTCCACGTTAAAAAGTCTACACTGAAAAATATTCTTAATGAAAATTGCTTTTCTCGAGTTTGTCTATATTCAAAGGTCTCTTTTCTCGGATACACCCATACGATATCTCTCTCGACCCGAGAAAAGTGGCGTATGGTATTTTGACGTTTTTATAAAGCATTTCTAGAGTTTGTTGTTTGTTTGGGTGTACACGCATTCCAATTATTCAATATGTTCTAACCGCTAGTCACAACATAATTTATGACACTAGTTTGAGCAACTATTTTCTGAAGAAAACATTATTGTAATCAACGTTGGTAATTAATCAGATTAAATAAAACATGAATAAAAAAGTTTTCTTAACACTTCACCCAAAGTGTAAAAGGGGGACCCTATTACTAAGACTATGTGGTCTGTCTGTCTCTCTGGCACCAGATGTCTCTCTGTATCTCGTGAACCGTAAAAGTAAGACAGTTGAAACAAATACTAAAAATCATAATATAATAAATATTTAAGGGTACTCCCATACAAAAATTGTGATATTTTTTGCTGTCACCAGGCTGTATCCCATGAACCCTGATAGCCAGACAGTCGAAATTTTCGCAGATGATTTAAAAAGATGGAAATATTTATTTTATATTTAAGTGGGCTCCCATACAACAAACGTGATTATTTTGCTTTTTTTTGCAATACGGAACCCTTGGTGCGCGAGTCCGACTCGCACTTGGCCGGTTTTTAATGAAATGTGACGACGAACATTCGCACGTTGAGAATGACAATGTCACTAACCAAAAACGACGTAATTTTTTAATCTTGGCAACATTTTTCTTTGTTAAGTATAAACTTTAAAATGCAAAGTTCCCTGTAAACGTAGCTTGCATAGAAACTGCTAGGTGGTGTAGTGACGATACGTTGTTTAGAGGAGCTGATTACAATTTCTTGAACTTTAAACGCTCATTACTCAAAACCGCATTTTTTGCATTGTGTCACTATCGTTCTCAACGTACGTTGGTTATGTAACTACTGCCCGTTTTCACTAAACTTAGGAGTCGCCCAAATCTGTCACCTAAATATTTAGGAACCGCCTAAGGTAAAAATGCATTTCACCATTGACTAGGAACCACCTAACGAAATTAAGCAAGTCTAAAATCATGTATTAGTTATGCAGCGCCTCGAGCTAGGCATTTGCGTATATGACAGATCATATATATGTCAAGGGATAAAGGAAAAAAATATTTATTTCGAATCACATTAATCTTCTTAGGCAATTCCTAATATTAGGCGATTCCTAGTTAAGCTATTCCTTGTTCTAGGTTAGTGAAAATGGGTGTACATCGCCTGCAATGAATTCGATACGTCTAAAGAAGTGAATGACAGTTATAATCATGAATGTCTATAGAAAAATGATTTTCCTAACAGGTATAGAAACAAAATTTGCCGGATCATCCTGTAACGACTTGGTTACGTCAGATGGTGCTGGCTCCACCATCATATCGGGACACCTCGACAAGACGATTCGATTCTGGGACATCCGCTCGGAGATATCGGCCAACGACATCGTGCTCCAGGGCAGGATCACATCGCTTGACCTTATCAGAGGTAATTATTACCAACCTATTAAAATCTTCCATGCAAGGATGTCTAGGGATAATAAAGAACCCAATATGTGGGTCTAATGAAGATTGGTGGGTGCTTGTAGGGTTGGGTTTGGACTGATCCTTTTACCCAATGTTAAGGTATTTCACAGCTGGTTTTATCAGGTAGAGCAACCGCATTTTGATCTCACGCCGCTTTTTGGGTAGAATCCTAATGGTAAGTGATCCCTGATTGGAGGTAGGTAGAATAATGTGCATTTTCCTTACGTTAATAAAAAAAGGATTTATGTGTGTTAACGACAGATACAACCAGAAGCAATGGCGTAACGTGTCTTCTCAAGCATGGAGAATCTGGAGATATTAAAATTTTGATTACCCGTCCCATCACCACCCATTACAAAAGTTGCTTAATATTTTTTCGCATTTGCAGAGGGAATGCATTGCCGACTATACCATCGAGCTACTCACTTATTTCAACAATTACTACCCTTTCTTTACTTAACACAAACGTATTCAATTGTCACGCTTTCGTTACATATCAAAAGTTTGTGTTACTCCATCAAAATAGAAGATTAAATTAAATGAAAACTAGTTTGGCAACGTCTAATCACGCGGCGATTATGTTTAAAATTCATCATTGCTGTTGATTGGATAATCGTAAATATTGATTATATAAAATATAGACATTTTGTTTAGTTATTTATGATAGAGTTATATCAAATATAAATTATAAGTAGTTTTTAGGTCTCTTAAAACTACTAATAGGTTATTAGAACCAAAATTTGTTGTTAAACAAAAATTTGCTATTAAAATAACATAGTGGGGTCCAGTTACGAGTTTGTATAAAAATAAATTTGTTGGTTTTACAATTACTATGATATTTCTTCGTATGTTTTCAACCGTCTCTCACCTTTTTAACCGTCTATAGATTTTTAATTGACGGTAAAATTAGGTCCATCCGATCTAGACTACGAAATCTCATTTCATTTTTCAACATTCTAACTACGTTATATTTCTAAACATTGTCGGTGTTCTATACTTAATATTAATGAATTCTGTGTTCGTATTAAGATAATGGTACCAAACAACAAATTTATTAAAGCTACTTCTTAATTGTAATTTTATAGATGCTTTGTTGGAGCCACGGGGAGGCAATCAAGTATTAGATAATCATGCCTCGCGGTCGTCAGATGACGGCTTCAATACTTTAACGTAAGCAAACAGTTAGGAATCAGCGGTCTTATTAGTTTCTTTTAAAAGTGAAGAGCAATATTAACTGATAATTGAATGCACAGTGTATTAGTATCGGTATTCGTGTCAGTCGGTACAACGTGACGAGTTGGCTGCCCATTTCCGTTAGCGCGTCTCGATCGATCCCTTTTTTGTCTGTAACGGTCCGTATGGCTCACGAAATGCTGAGATTGATACCTTCAATCAATCGTAGTGTCGGGACGTCGCATCGTTGGAAACTGATTAAATCACGTCGATTTCGTCGCCGGCGATCGACTGACAAATGAATAGGGAGACGGCGGTTCGCAGTTAGCGATCACGGTCGCTCCAGATATATCAATATTATCATACAGTGGATCTGTAGCTCAAGACTGCTCGGCGAAACCAGTACTCGGTGCCAAATTTGGGTTGCTCTATTGAAAACACTAGAGACAATCCCGTAGGATGAATGTTATGAATAAGATTTTACAGATTTACATGTTGTTATAATGTTATGTAAATAGCCTTTATAATAGAGAAAGATAATGATCCATTTCAGGTGTTAGACGATCAGTAACTTACAATCGGTGCAATTTAGGTCACTGTTCATAAGCTTTAGAAGCTCTAAATAGTGGCTTTCTTAGTGTTAAATTTCGCTATGAATCCACGATGCGAGCTGCTTTACTACAGTCATTCGATGGTAGACTTTCACATCGTCAGATACACAAAACTATGCTAGATAATGTTTTGTACTAATGACTAATTTATGATTTACCCTTATTAATGCACGACCCACGACCGTGGGTTACTTTGATCACACATTATCTCCCCGCTTAATTCAATAAAATACTCTATCCTCGTTCTTGTTAACCTTATATTGAACATTTTATGTGTGCTATTTGAGAGGTTTAAGGTTAAATTTTATCTTTATACGACCCGACCATCGAAAAGGTAGGCAATAAAGGGAAATAACGGGTCGCAGGGTGGAACACAAAGTACCTAAATTAAGCCCAGAGTACCGTCGTATAATTTTGTAATCTTATACATCATCGGCTCTGCCGTTTAATTTTCTTTGAAAGTATTATTGACAGTGACATGCCATTCTGTTAAGTCGTAGTTTGCTGCCTAATCTACGAGTATAATAACATGGCGCTTAATAGAAAATTATTGACATTTCAATGATCTTTAAATGTGTTATAATAATATGGATTAAAAAAGTATTTTTGTTGCAGACAGTAACTATTTACTGGCGTGCGTGCGGGACGACTCAACAATACAACTGATAGATCTTCGGATGAATACAATAGTGCGCTCCTTCAGGTAATATTTGCACCATATTTTAAATCATCTAATTAAAGAATACTTAACCACAATTAATATTATCAAATTTAAAGAAAATAGATATTATTTATTTTAAGTAAATAGATATGAGAAATTATACAATAACTATGTTTTCGGAGTAAATAATTATAAACATTTATGCTCTTAATTGCCAAAAACTCCTATTTCCGTTGCGCTTTTCTATTTTATCGCTCAGCACCGCCATTTGCTAGACTGAGCAAAATAGCTGGCACGAGAATTCGCTATCTTTCTCACTCTAACAAAAAGTGGTTGTGAGCAACAGAAAAGGATAACACGCTTCCAGATTATCTTTATTTCTATTTCTGTTATCTCTCTATGTCTATGTATTCTCTATGTCCGTTCTGATGATTTCGCCATTTCTCTTTGAATTCATTCACAATTTTAACGAACCTTTCTCAGCTGATTATTTAGAACCTCTTAGATAAATATAACGATATGAGCCTCTATGGCACATTAACCATTCTTATGTCTTGGCATCGGAAGAACAATAGACGTGCCCCAGTCCTAGGATAAGGGTTTATTGTCATTTAATCTACTATCATAAGGGTCATCTAACCAAACACCAAGCAGTACTATTTATAAAAGCATATGCCCCTCTTCCGTGATCATCAATTTTTTCATTATAAGTATATTACTCTATAGAAGAGCATAATAATTCTCATCGTCAAAATTACCAGATGGAATCTGAAACAAAATCTAAAACGCATAATGTAAAAACAAGCAAACTGTCATTTATGGCTCGCGAGTTCATTTCAAAACGTCCAATTATAATGAAATTTATTGTTAAATTTAAAATGTCTCCTTAAAGGCTATCTTGCGTACGGGACGAGAATATCGCATGGCAACACAAATCTCCTGTTCATGGCGTTGAATCTTTTTACAATGTTGCACTGCTGCGATACGTACGATGTGTAGAACTAGACGCCGTTTGCTAACCAACAACAATAGTGCCGACAGACAACTGAGGGGGTCGGTATCAGAAATTACCATAGATTAATAATGCTATTAGTCACACTTGGCGCTTTGTCGTAGATAAAACAGATGACCAATTGTTCTGTTGAATTTCCGTTATACATATATAGAAATTATATCCAAAATAGTATGATGGTTATCTAGAAACTGCCCGGACAGTGTACTTTAGTTATGTTATTATTTTCACAGTATCATGTCCTATGGCATTATATTGTGGGGAACGGCAGCCGATAAGCCGATAACAAAAAAGGGCAATAAGAGCTATCTATCAGTTGATCTCGCGAATATCTCTTAGAGAGAAATTTAAAGAAATTGGAATATTGACGGTTGCATCTCAATTTATATATTACTGTATACTTTTTGTCCGGAACAATATTAATGTGTATACCAAACATAGTGATTTCAAAACGTACACAAGCAAGCTAGTAATGCCTTCTTACAGGTTATAGAAGGTATTAGGTTCTTTCATGGGTCAAAGTATACAATACTTTAACAAGATCCCCTGTGATGTATTAGATTTGCTAATAAATCATTTTAAAAGTCATATTAAAAATTGTCTACAAAGTTTTAGATATTATACCGGTAAGGAATATGTAAATGACAAAAAGGCATGGTGTTAGATATTTTAACTTTATTGTATTTACTTTCTAATATTTTAATGGAAAGTGTCTTCATATTCTAATAAAGTCACTTTTCAATAAGACTTCTCTGTGTGAAATAAAACAGGGAGAAAAAAACAGCCCTTGCTGAGTTTCTTGTCGGTTCTTCTCAGTGCAAGGTCTCCCGCCGTAGTTTTGCGAACCGATGGCGTAGTTTTCGACTTTCACAAGTGCTCTGTAAAAGCCTAAACTGAATAAATAAATTTTGATTTGATTACATGAGTGCTACTCCATGAGCTTGCACAAACGCCAAAGTATCGAGGACTCGATAAATGAAAGCACATCAGGTTACCACAATAAGTCAATTTTCACAATTAATTCGAAACTACACGCGCAATACTATATATAGGTTTAAAATCAAGTGGAGAAATTTTACAGTTTTATTAAACAGGTTATACAAAACCTGCTAATACATGGTAAATGACCATTAAAGTTTAAAATTACATATGATTCGCTTCGTTAGACGAATAGGGCAGTTCCTTTATAGGTATTATTATTTAAATATTTAACCTTCTCGTTATATGTTTTGCCCTCGATAAAGTAAAGAGTCATCCTGTGTTTAATCGAATGAAAATCATTAGAAATAGGTAAAGCATTAAACTAAGGATATCCTTATGTCAATTTAATACACTGAATAATATCTATTGGGCTAAAACTTTCCATTTACTCGTCCAATAATATATGTCGGCAAAAAGAAAAACAGAATAGATATGGCTGTTGACCCGCAAAGCAGATGTATATTAATAAAATTTCACCCAGCGGCAAACAAAGTAATTTTTTTACATCAACTAACAGAGTAACTGTATACAATTTTTAAACATTCTGTTATGTTATAAATTATTTCGCTTTGAACTCTGTAATATAAAAATTCTTTTTTAGGGTTAAGTATCTCAAAAGTTAAATCAGTTTGTCTGCCAATCCGTCTGTTTTACTAGTACAGCATATTTTCTCCGAAAATACTAGACCGATTAAGTGAAACTGATACGCATATATAAGCAAACTTAAATGCCTATTATCTAAGCCATTTGTTGTCAAATTGAAGTGAAAAAAATTACTGACTGAGCAAATAGCATTTTTTTTATACAGGCATCATTCTTCTTGTACTGAACATAGGGCACGTGAATCCGATACTTACTTGGTCGATTTTTTTTTGTCAATAGACCATATTTAATGTTTGCATAATAAATACAGATTAAACTCGGATTTGCATAATAAGATTGATGCGATATGAAAATTAAATGAAACGGCTGATATAACTGTTATTTTTTTGGTCAACCGGTCAAAGGATACTGTAACGACAACAGAGCATGTAGTTTTTTTATTTAATCGGAGCTTCTTGTCAATATTTAAATATTGTCAAGAAAAAAATTGAAGCTGATGTACTGTAATCATGAATTCTGTAAATAACAAACTTTACATATTCTTCTAATTCTAAACTTGGAAAGTATGAGGGACCATAAGGAGCCTTTTCGGCCCTGAGAGGTGCCAGAAAGTTACTTAAATTTCAGGATGAAATTTGAGTATTTTCAGGGCCCCAAATGCTTCTTTTTTTTCTTATGCCCCTTAGGCCTTAGGCCTGTATTTTCTTATTTATGTGCTTTATCACCGGTTTATAAATAAGGGTAAAAGAAATAATTTTATTTTACTATAGGTTTTTTCCTGTGATACAAAAGTAAACAATGGGATAAATATAAATTTCAAATATCTCAAAATTATATATCATGTCAGTTTCTTCCAATGACATGTATGCACATGACTGAGCATTAATGCAACATTGTAACTTGTAAGTAAAGTAATATGAATTCATCGTGCACAATAATTGATAAAAAAAATATCCACAATAAATGTAGCTAAGTTAAATCTTAGTACAAGTAGTTTCAATTTTCAATGGAATTAAAACCATATTGGAACTGATCTTAGTATCTTAGTATGACATACTTATACTGTCCTAGTATGACATAATATGAGTATGAAATGATAAGCTTTGCTAAAGAAAATACTAAAATAAAAAAATAACTTCCATCCAAATTCTAATTGGCGGTACTTAACAAGTGTTTGTTTGAATACACAAAGAGTAAAGTTACTGTCTTAAGTTACTTTTGTAATGGTTTGCTAACAATTCATGCTTCTATCTATATTTTGTATTACGTGTTTACGCCAGCCTTAATGTGGTTTAGGAGAAAATCTATTAATTTCAGTCACGAGTCGTTCAAAATGGGGTGCGACTGGTCGCGGGCGGCATTCGGTCCGGGCGGGCGGTTACTATCGGTGGGCGGAGCAGACGGCGCAGTCTACATATGGAACACGTACTCCGGCAAGCTGGAGGCGATACTCAAGGACCACACGTGAGTACCATTATTAGTTAATTTTAATGAACTATGCAGTTCCTCGTTGAATTGTAGTCACTGCAAACTAATTGATCTATTGTGATTCACTCTCATAATTATAATATCTCTTTTAACCTGAGATTTTATATCTTCTGGACTGATTATATATCATCCGCTTCACTCGTGATACACTTTGAGTACGCTTATAAAAGCTTATTACAACATGTCTGATATGAACATATTATGTCATTTTTTGTAAATATAAGGAGGGAGCGTTTTATGATTAATATTTTCACAGCTAATAAAATCCTGTTTAAGTGACCTGCGATCATTGTTGTTACGCAACAGTCGCGGGATGAAAAGTGAAGTTAAGAGAATTATTCAGAAGAATAACGCTCGTTACGTTACAAATTTAAATAAAAACCATTACCAGGAATCGGATATCGAAATAGAATTAGCAATTGTTTTATGCGTCTTATCTCACGTTAGCTGTAGCGACATGTTGACTGTAATTGCTGCAATAATTGCGGCAAACGGGTTGTTTGACGCGCGTCAGAACTAGATGCAGCATCAATGATGACGCGCTGTGTTATTTATAGGACAGCAACACAACTATCATTGACTTCATTCTATTTTTGTACGTTACTATGTTGTACTCTTGGTCACTACGCGGCGTGTTGTTGCAATCTGTCACATGTCCGTGCCTCTGTCAAATCTCATGCGGCTAGAGACATGCGTCGTCAGCTGTCACATGCGGTGCTAATTTAATGTGATGATAAAAACTTGTAGAATGAGATCTTTTAGTTTTTAATCAGAGGGAATACTTCTTCGGTGAATGGTTAAAATATTTGTAACATTGTAAACGTTATAAGAAATATCTATAATAATATCAATAAATCTAATCTAATAATATCAAAAAAATAATAATATCAAATAATCAATAAAGGTAATCTTCGGTAATACTGATCTGATCATGAAAATTCTTCCACCTACGGGAAACTACATTATACGCGGGCGACATAGGCTATAATTGAACGGACGAAGTCGCGGAAAGACACTTACAATATAAAATTGCCAAATTGCAGATATTTCCTATAATATTAGAACATGTTGGAACGGCGTAACCGATCAGATTTTGAAATTCGGAGCTTTTGAGGTTCATTGTAACGATATATTAATACAAAATATGTATTTTGTATAAGATTGGTTTGACATCCTATATTATTATGAAACATTGTGACAATTTATTATATTTACAGTGTAATCATAAATTTATGAATAACTAGCTTTTTCGCAGAAATTATAACCTATGTCAGCCGCAGTCCAGTAGTTTTGGAGTCTGTTAATAGCAAAACAAACGAAACATGAAATCTCTGCTGTCTACAATATTAAATTTATGAGAAATATGATATAAACTTTTTCCCCTATCTGAACAATGTCATTCATTCGTGAACTCTTCAGTTCAAGTTTAAATTTGATAAAATGCTGGATATTCTTTTATATTCTTTGATACCACGCGAAAACCCCAATAATAAAAATTTTACTGATATTAAGCAGGGGTTGGCGACTCACCGCAAGCGATCCTTTACCGCCACGGGTTCCGAGGGCTGGGTTCTGGAACGGGGTGCGTCGACGCGGTTACCAGCGAATATATCATACACGATATATAGTCCATAGGCACTGATCCACCGTTCTTCCGAAATGTCCTTATTCTCGATAACGAACAATTCACCAAGCTCAATCAAAATTAGGTGCGCGCAGTTAACAATTTGAAATCACAGTAGTAAACCGTCACCCAAGGATTAAGGGTGGGGATTTGGAACGAAGACAGCTAATCGCCTTGCCCATAGACAATAAAAATTTTACCCACAGTTGTGTTGTCTTTGTATAGCCAATTATCAATGATCTGTTTCGTTACGGAACATGCCGCTCACCTTAAAGGAACGTGCCTTTAACATTAAATGAACAAATTGAATA